CGTCGTCTTTTTATGAACTGGGCGCGCAGCCGGTGCCCACGAACGAGGTTTGGAGGCCTTGAGGCGTCTCCTCGGGGCTTCCCTCCGCGAGTGTCCTTGCGGCACAAGCCTCTTGCGCCGGGTTTTGCTTATTTTCACGGTGAAGCCCGTGGCAAGCCGGCGGGGAGGGTCGAGAGAGGCAGGGGCCCCGCGGGGGGGAGGCCTCTGCTCAGGGCAGGTGGTGGCGAGCTGACTCATGAAACAACGGCCCACCAGAGGCTGTGGGTTGGTAAATCCCGGCCGTTTCCATTCCCTGTGGATGGACAGCACAGATTCCGCTGTAAGATGCTCCATTTCGCAGCCTGCTTGTGCCTCCTAAAATTTTCAAAGCCAGGAGGGGGTGTTGGCAGTCCGTGTGTCTCTACCCGAGGTGGTTGTCACAGTCGGTTCACCCAGCTCTGGTTTGAACATGCAAGTCTGAGCAACGTACGTCAAAAGTCCAGCCGCACTGAAGGCAAAACCAGATATTACTGAGCGTGGAAGGGCTCGTAGGTGGTTCTGTGGGGTTGGAATGTTCACCTGTCTGCACATTCTGTAATTTGCCATGATGTTTAGGACCAAGGTACAGCTTGATTGTTGTAATGGTGGTCAGGAGCTGCTCTTTTTTCCCCAACTATAGAACAAAAATCTGCATATGTGGAGTGTCTAAATATAATTTTTATTTGGCAATATCAAAAAACTCTTAATTTGTGTCTGAGATACTGTGTGGTGCTTTATTCTATGTGCTTTAGTCAAAAAGTCTTTGGGTTTGAACTTTTTTTAAATCTCACTGCAGTCAGCATGTTTGTCTTTTTGTTGTTTAACAGATGATGGTGAAGATGATGACTCAGATTCTCATGCTGAAATGGTAAACAATTTCTCTTTAAGCACATCTTTCCATATGTCTGTTGAAGGGACCTTGAGGAAGGGGAATTTCACTCTGCTCTGGGGAAATCTAGGCAGCTGGCTTGTCCCTGCAGCTCAGGAAGGATTAATAACAGACCTGGAGGTTTAGTGATTCCTGCCCAGGACTTTGTTTATCTGTAATAGGGAGACTTTTTCATGTGAAAACAAGTGACGGGGATCAGAGGCCTCACTGCTCTAGTGCTCGCTGATCTCTGTCACTGGAAACACACCAGACAAAAAGAAATCATCAGCATGTGATCAAGAAATCTTTACTTCTTTGTACCTAAAGAATACTGGGTTTGGTCACGAGGGGAAAATTGCTTCTAGAACTTCTTACACATCTGTTTTCTCAAACTTCATATAGAAAACGTTTAGCAGAGAAATGTTTTAACACAGGTACAGCACTCTAATTGGTTTGAAAATCAGTTTTGTGAGGTAATGAAGTATTGAGTTACAAAAATAATTGTTACGTACCTACATTTAAAGCAATTATTTTTTCTCCTTTCTTTTAACCCCCTGCAATGCCTTATTTCCTTCAAGGAAGTGGCAAGAGAAGATGACAGCAGCGATGATGATCTTGAAAGTAGTCTGCCACAGGACCCAGAAATGTGTCTGCAGATGAACCATGTGTACCAGGAAGTTATCCAGGAAAAGATTGAGGAAGTTGAGCTTCTCATTGCACAAAACAAAGAACAGCAGGTGAGTGAGACAGGAATAAAATGTTTGTTCCTGTGCTTTTCTGGCTTGTCATTTGCCATCTTCTCCTGCCCATCAGTCCCTGTAAAACTTGCCGGGAAATGCCTGATCCATCACAGGTACCAGTGGAGTCAGCTCCAGCAGTCCTGGACCCTTATGCCCTGGTGCTGTGCTCAGCTTGCTCGGCCAGGAACCAGGTGGTTCTTCTTCATGGCGATTCAAACCAGTGTCACTTGACTGGCCTTTCACATGGCTCATTGGACAGATACTCCCTTGATTGCTCAGCACCAAAAATGCTGCCGCTAGGGTCCTTAACATCTTACCTTTTTTGTAACCGTCTGTAGCATACTGGACAAACTTAAAAGTTCCAAATCCTGTCTCTAACATATACACGGATTCACAGTCGGGTGCTGCAAATTTGAGCTCTGCCTGAGGTGTCTGTGATGGCTCAGCCACCGCTCTCTGAGATTAGGAATTTGAAAGAGACGCTGATATTGTTTAATTAATTCTTGTATTGCAGAAGGAAATCATGTTGGAGCTTGGTGGTACAAAAACAGCAAAGACAGGAGATGGTAGAAATTTACCAGCAAATGTATTTTTGGGTCATTTTATGAAGCCGTACTTTAAGGACAAAACGACTGGAATTGTAAGTAAATAAAACCAGGTTACGTACTGATAGGACTTTCAGTGATAGATTTAAATGGTAACTGTGTTAAAACTGTGTTGCATTTCAGCTGTGTAACTGTACATGTCACCCCCCAGTTTGAAACCTTATTTTTCTCACTCTTTGCTTACTTTCCCTCGTTTGGAAATGTTTGTTGAACCCATGTCTGACTGTGGTGAGGAAAAGTGAGTTCTGGGCACTGGCAGTGCAGCTGTGGGGCACTCGAGCATTCTTGTTTTCAGCCTAACCGTGTTTGTCCTTACCGTTATGATCTAACTCCACGCTGTTGTTTAAAGCACTCATTGAAATCTGATTGTCTTTGAAAAGGAGTTTTTTGAGGTAAGTGTCACTGCTTTTTAACCCGTGTTTTAAAGGGTCACTGGCTAAAGGACATTTTGTTGTAGCTGTCAGCTGTCACCATACATATAACATTCAAGCAAAGAGCGGTAGTTTTTCTGTCACACCTTCCCGAGTTGGTGGTGCATCCTAAGTAGGTACAAACATGCCCAATATGTGACCCCACATTCAAAGTGCTTCTTCAACCACCTGTCTGCTGACATGAGCAGGCCTGGCCCCGGGCTGAGAATGTGCTGTGTAACCATGGGCCAACTCGCTCGCTTGACCTAACTATTGGTACTTCTTTTCCCGTGTCTTCTGAGGTATCTGAGCTAGTCCTAGTAAAAGTAACTCAGTTTGAATGTGACAGTTTGCACAAGGTTTGAGTTAACAGTCTTTTTTGTAGCAGTTCGTGCTAGAGTTCTAAGAAGAAAGGGCAATTTTTCTTTGTGTCTGACTCTTCCAGTGCACTTAACCCTTCTGATCTTCCTTAGGGCCCTCCTGCCAATGAAGATGCCAAGGAAAAGGCAGCTCAGGGCATCAAATCCTTTGAACAATTGGTTTCAACAAAATGTAAGTACCTCTGTGCTGTTCAGTGTTCTGTAAGAGCTATAACAAATGAATATTTGTTCATGGTGTCAGTCCCCCTCCACACTATTTGCATTTAAACATCAACACTTCTGATATTTCATTATTGAATCCACAAAAAAAAAGTTAGAAGTAAATTGGATGCTCTGTATATTGTTTCGTTAAATGCTTAATGACTCAGTTCTTTCATGTGCATCTGTTTTGATGCATCACAGTGCGCTCCTGTGAGCACTTCAAAACTAAACAAGATTGTGCAAGGGAGAGGGAGTGCTCAGATGAGAGAAGTTCAGGGGACACTTACAGCTTGAGGTGGTTACAAACACCGGGGTGATGATCTTTATTGAGATCTCTTCGAAACTAAAACAGAGTGAGAGGCTGCAATTTGCCCAAGTCAGATGTGGCGTTAATAATTTTGGTGGAGGATCGAATGAGTTTACCTCGCCTCTGGAAGCTGCTCTGCCCAACACAGTTGTGTGGCTAATGAAGATGAACTGTTCTAAAAGACCTGGGGGGTAGCTTACCAGTGGCATTGAAAGCAGCAGGTCTGTCTCTCCTGGCAGTGGTTTTGCACTAGTGTCTGAACGCTCAGTTGCCTTGTTTTGTCCAGGGAAAAGCAGAGAGAAGACATTACTGCAGAAATCAGTAGTAAGTGACCGCTTGCAGCGCCTGCTTCAGCCCAAGTTACTGAAGTAAGTACTGTGCAAACATCTTCTTCCTGATGAGAACGTTGTATGTGAAGGAAGGAAAGGATATATGTGGGGATTCCACCCTCCTTTGGCAAGTTCCTGCATTAACTGTCTGTGATCCAGTAAGGTTACAAAACACAACAGAGATACTCTGTCACCACTGGGCCAAGGAGAGCCACTCCCTGAATTACAGCGGTGGTCTTCAGGCTCCCCTGTCCTGTGGGCACCAGAGCTGAGGGTGACACTGTCATAGGTAGGAGCATCCCTTGTTCCTTGACGTCTATATTAGCACATACACATGGTATCAAAGGGTCTTGGACTGCCATGCTCTGGTCATAAGCGAGAGGTTACGGCGTTCAGGTTGGGCTGGAAATGCTTGATGATTGCTTTGTGGGTACCTGGCAGGTGGAGGGGTTTTGGTTTGGAGGTATTGTGGCATTTTATGGCCGTCTGCTTGCTTCCCACTGACACAGTGGGGTCACTTCAAATAGTCTACGGGGTTGAAACTGAAGTTGTCGTATGTAGCGAGTCGTGCTGGTGTATCCAGCGAGAGGTTTCTGTGCCTGTAGCTGGTATGGGCTTTGTCACTGTTGCAGCAACCATTGGTTTTCTCTAAATATCTAAATGATTAGTCTGAGGCCTGCTCTGGGTCAGTGATTTGACTGAAGGGTCAAAAGTAGGACAAGGAGTGTGTTGTGTGGGAAAACCTAAAAGAACGACAGTTTTGTGTAGCGTGGGAGTGAACTTGAAGAGAAGAACGATAGTGATGGGGAAACAGTCTTTGCTGTGTGTCTGAGGCCGTTGACCTCACTCCCATCTAGTCACGTTAAGTAATGATGAAAATGTCTTTGAACAGGATGAGTTACTGGAATCAGAAACTGGAGAAAGTCAAGACTGAAGCGGAGAAGCAGATCTTGGAAAAGCAAATCAAAGAAGTGGAGCGAGAAATAGAAGCAATTAAGTGAGGAGCCTTATTTTAATGTTCTTGGTGAAAATGAAAGTCTGTTCTCTCCTTCCTGAAGTACTTCTAGGTCTGACATCTAGAGAAAGCTTTATTTGTGTTGATTTCCAAAAATTCTCCTTCCTGAAGTACTTCTAGGTCTGACATTTAGAGAAAGCTTTATTTGTGCTGATTTCCAAAAAATTAAGTGCTGTCTTTACTAAGAATTGTGTTTTGGATCTCTGTACCCAAATGTCGTATCTAAATCCATTGTAGCGGGGCTGTTCTAAATAGTTCTTGATTTAGCAGGAAGGTGATAGAGAGCCCAATAGTTCTGAGCTTTTGCTCATTAACACACCTGGAGCAACATGTTTTGATATTGTATTAATCATTTCTTCTGATAAACCAACATCCTCTTGTAGGGGACTGTTTTTCAAGAAGAAACGTTTTTTGACAAAGTTACTGTTTTAAAGAGCCTGATGCTTTGAGATAGTAAGTGTTTGGTTCTTGTGGAAATCAGGAACAGGTGGGAGGAATAAGATAAAGAAAGATCAGGAAGATCAAGTGCCTGTTTAATTAGCCAGTTAATGTGTTTTTCTCTTTCTCTTTGTACCTTCTGCTTTAGCCAACTCCCAGAAAGTGACTTGTTAGGAAACAGATTTGATGAGCACGACTGGGAGAAAATCTCAAACATCCACGTAAGTTGGGAGATCAGCTGTTTTATTACTCCTGTCAACTGTGTCCCTTCTCTTGAGCAGTACCTCACCTGGTCTAGTTTGCATCCACTTTTCCCATCATGCATTTCCTGAAGTTGACTGTTATGTGATCTCAACTTGGCAAGCACAGAAGTGCTGAAAATTTGATGCTGTTGGTTAAATTTAGTGATTTAATTCTGGAAAACTTAGCCATAAGACGTACCTGGAACACAAAGCATATTCCTTGCATCAATGTTCCCGTCTGTCCACATATTCAGTCCTGGCTACAGGGCAAAACTGATTTTTGATGTTTCCTTCAGTTTGATGGGCAACGTAGTTCAGAAGAACTGAAGAAGTTTTGGGAAAATTGGGAGCATCCAAGCATCAACAAAAAGGAATGGACCGAGGAGGAAATCGAGAGGCTGAAGAAGATAGCTGCTAAGCACGGTTATCTGGACTGGGAGACTATAGCCCAGGAGTTGGGGGTAAGGTCTCTGAGCTCAGAAACAGGAGCTGAAAACTTAGGTTATTCTGACCTAACCATGCTCATGTCAGTTTTCAGAAAACAATGTTAATGTTAATTCAGTGTTAATTAATACTTTCAAGGAGCATTCAGGTACCAAAAAAAGTTTGGTACTCTAGCCTTGCCCTTTTGCTCCAGTGTTAATTAATACTTTCAAGGAGCATTCAAGTACCAAAAAAAGTTTGGTACTCTAGCGTTGCCCTTTTGCTGTTTACCCTCACAAACACCCAGTTCTCCGAGTAACTCTGTTTTTATTGTGTTAAGACAAACAGGACCCCTTTCCAGTGCTTGCAGAAGTATCAAGTGT